CAATAATTAATATGGAAAGGCCTATAAGACTTGTACTCATTTTTTCCCTTAAGAATTCGTTTATTACATAATATTTTTTGGGGAAAATACTGCGAAAATTTGTTGTTTAGTGTGTGTTTTTTTCGCCAAGATTATATATATAGATATACTGCACTGTCAGATCGACAATGTTTAAAACTGAATAGTTCGCAATTTAGTAAGGAAACACCTGTTGAAATTTCGCACACGTGTAAATAACACTTTCATTTCACACATATTTCAATTTCAGCAAATTCTTACGAAAACTACTATACCCGGAGTTTGTCCTTAATCAGCTGTAACCTTCATTCTGTTTTATCCCTTTTAAGAGGTTAATTTATTTAATTATTGCATAAACTTTAATAAACTTATTCTTTTGTGTATTATTTTTTTGATGTTTCTTCATAATCTTAGAAAAAATTCTAAATTGACAAATTCCATTTAACTTTTTTTATTAAATGAGTTGTTTACACGCCCTCAATCGTCATATTGTAGCTTTGGGCCATTTTCTCTTACTATGCAGCGCGCGGCGTCTATCACATTATTACACGACAATTACCTGAGAATTTCAAAACTATAAACTTTAGAAAAATGTATCTGTAGACTCGATTGAGTTTAGATTCGCATCCCTAATTGTCAAAACTCCAAGAAATCAAGCTAAACCATTCCCAAATCTATAGGCTTTTATACTTCTTTTCTATTCAACTTTAGGCTCTTGAACAAAATTCCTGAACTAAAGTTGTGAGAAAACAGGTAATAAATTTGCAATATTGATAAAAATTACATACAATACGTAACTTTTATTATTAGTTAAAGGTTTGCTCATCACTCTTTTTATGATAGGATAAGCTAGTTATACGCAAAAAGTTTTGGCACAAGAAATGTAATTACACTTGAGAGTGTCATGTTGCTGTCAATCGCATACTATCGTAAATTTGTTAAATAAACTTATTTTAGCTGATTCAGAAATTTTAAGTTTGTTCCTTTATTTTGAGATGGGGGCTAGAAAGAAATTCAAAATTTTGAGGGGGGACGAGGGAGTGGATTAGTAACTGAATATAGTCTTACAACTTTACATTATAAGATACATGAAAAATTACTTTTTTACCTTGAGAAATAAAAGAATAACCTAATGTCTTACCTAAATAAGTTTTTCTCAAATCTCCAGAACTATTAATAAAAAAATATCATCATTTTTTTCGCCAATTGTATGAAATTTTTTTTATCATTATTTGAATTTATATACAATAAGTCAAAGATTTTTTTAGTCAAAAATATTTCTCTATGCATAAGATTTTTTGTGCCTTTAAATAATTTCGTTATAGAAAAATCAAAACATTTACTTGATTTATATTGGAATTCAAAAATATACTGAATATATAACATAGCATCATCATATCTCTTATCAACAAAGTTTTCTGTAACATTTTTTATATTTATTTTGTATTTAATTACCTTATATATTTTCCAAAACTAAAAACCACGTCAAAAATTGTCTTATGTGATTAGCAAATTTAAACGTAATTGTTTCTTCGAAAATATTGACAATTTTAGAATTGCATTCAAGTTCTTTACATTTTTTATCTCCAAAAGGTGTTGCACTATTTGTTCCCATTGAAATGAGCTAGGACAAAGTGTTTATAATTTTTTTGGAGATATTATGTTCAATCTACCTATTGCAATGATTTTCATGACATTTTCTCTTTTTTCCCAAATTTTTAGTTTGTTAGTAAAATGTTTACATACTTTATAAATTTCGCAACGTAATCATGTTTATTTCATTACACTCAAGCTGTTAGTTGCGTTTGATAGTTTTATACTATTCTCAAAATAATTTTAATTTAATATAAGTTTTTGTTTACTTCCAAGGAAGAGAACTAAATTTCGACTGCATGACTTTTAGAACAAATAAACGATTCTTGTAGTCCCCAAGGTGCTTTCATTAGATCCACATGTCTAGCACTAATGTAACTACCTATTTCAGTGAATTATTTGTTCCTTCGTCTTTTTATTTTCAAATTCAAACGTATGCTATGTCATGAATGCATTTGATGCTTTGGATTGATGCACAACATTTAACGATAACAAAATGTGTATTTTGTCGATAAAAATTTCTTATGAGGTACAATTATTTAATCATCTACTAAAATTTTATCTTTTGTAAACGTTTTGCGAACATGTTTATCAGATTAGTTCTTTGTTCTTTTCCATTGCAGGTAACAGTTAGTTTAGAACGTAGTTTGAAATGTTGTACATTTGTAAAAGCTTTTGGGAGATTTTTTGTACACTTCTGATTAGTATAAATGGACTGTATTTTGTATGAGGACCATGAAGCATGTGTTTAATAACTAATTTTGTGAGTTACGCATTACCCTAAGAAATTTTCGCAGAATTAAGTGAAACAGTTTGTTGAGGCGTAATATTTTTTTAAAAATTAAAATAAAATAATCTAACTGAAATATTTGAAACATCATTTGGTGTTAGGTTATTTGAAACTTTGGATAAAATTTACTTTTTTTGCATTTATGATAACATGTTTCTTTTATAAATAGTTATGGTCTACCACATTTTCTTAATATCGCTATTGCATCCTGACAGTGTTTCTGCATATATCTTGGACTTTCGTTACATTGAAATAGCACTATGAAGAGATTTTTAATTGTTTTTCTTTATTTAAAAATTTTTTTAAAATAGTATATGCACCTATATGCATATAGTGATTGCATTAAATAGCCTTCAATAAATTAAAATTTAAAATTTTTTTCGACTATATTTAAAACAATTAAAATAGATGTATTTAATCACGATATTAGTTTGTATCAAAAATTGTTAAGTTAATCTTTTTCCACATCATAACAGACTAAAACTCTTTTAATCTGATATGTAAGACAGTCTGTTCCCATAATGCTAAAACATAGTAAGTTTCTCATTTTTCGTTAAATAATTTTTAATGTCACCAATACTCCAGCTAAAACCTTCTAGAAAAAATAAAATAACGGACTTTCCTACCCAACTAGTAAAAAAAGAGAGATCACTTCAAAATATTACCTTAAGATAGATATCTTGTAACTCTTTACGGTGAACACATAAATTAAAATTTTCCGAAAGTCCCGAGTATGAAACTGTATCAATAACAAATTCTGTTGTTAATGGTTTATTGTATTTTATAATTTGAGAGTTTTGTCAAACTATGGAATCTGATGTAAACGTTCTTACTTTTTGGCTTTTGGATTTTTCTTTATAATCTTCGTTTAAGTTTTGATATGTAATTTACTAAGGTTTCAGTTTTTTTAATCAAAGCACATGTCAAAACTTAAATGAAGATTATAAAGAAAAATCCAATAGCCAACTTAATGTAGTTGTTTGCATAGAGCATTCTACACAAACCTTGCTACAACTTCACAATTCTCTTAACTAGTCTCCCTCCATTACCACCCCCCATAATGCCTAGTTTGCCTCCAATGCCCACCAACGAAATAAGGTAAAGTTCTGTATTTTTCCTGTCTTAAGTTTTACAGTTGCAATGTGCCTGGGGACATGGACTTGTGGTATCTAAAGGTGTTTCAGGGACTCAAATTTTCAGGGTAGATAACTCGCATCTTATAACCACAAGAGATTGTTTAAAATAAAAGTTTAAATTAAAAATTAATCAAAACTTTTAAAAAATCATTATTCTGCTAAAAATACTTTTTTTTTTTACACCCGTAATGAAACCTTTTTTAATGGGTGGTATGGTATAATCAATTATTAAATTTTATCATTATGCTTATCATTGTAGTAAGACTATTATATTACTTCAAATTTGTTCGTGTCAGAATGATTTTACTGGCTGACTGCTGCATCATTCTCAGTGCCTAGTTAAAAGTAACAAAAGCTAAAAAGCAGCCATATTTTTTCCTGACAACTGAGTATAACATGTCCTGTCAATAATAAAGAGGAAAAGCACATCCTTCTTATATACATACACATAAATATCTATCTTGTAATAAAGATTGAAATGTATTTGCTTCTATGTTTTCGCTGTAAAAGTGAACAAATTAATTGTGGGATTGTCAAACTACTCCAAAATAACTCTTAGAACTAACTTTAACATTCAGTAATATTTTAATTAGATAATATTAGCGTCTATTTTAACATATTTTTTAATGAATTTATAATTGCTGGAGAAACTGAATCACAAAGTATTCTTACCATGAACGCTTAGATAGACTACTCTTTGATCTCATGCATCTAGTAATTACGTGTACATATGCGCAACACTATATAGTAAGAAAATTTTAGTGATTGTAAGCTCAGAGCTGATGAAAAAGGAATAGGAATCAAAGGGGATAAAAAGTTTCTTCTACATTTGATCATTACTTGGATTCTTTAGGTTGGCATGCTAATGATCTGGGGCCTGAAAAAAATTCAACTTACATTTACTTATTATCAACTTTTTCATTATTTAGATAACTATGCTGTTACATTAGTTAAGCCAACTTAGGAAATATCAGGGAAAATATCGCACATATTATTTAAAGCCACAGCGTTGAATTGATAAATTGAAACCCTTTCACTCCAACTTTTACTCTCAGGTGAAAAAAGCATAAGACAGTAGTTACCTGCCCATATAAAAGTTGTATCTTTAAGAAGATAGAAATATTCAAATTACAACATGCTGAAATTAATTCTAAATGAGTTATCTTTCTAGTAGTAATATTTCTAGTAGTTTTTCCGAAAAAATGATTGAGTAACTGTTGGCATAAAATGATAATAATTTGTCACATATCAATGCAAACCAAAAAATTTAGGCATTGTACGCATAGAATTATAGAAAATGTAGAGAACAACTTATATTATTTGTATACTATGTTAAAAAATATAAGATAAATTAGGGTCCAAATTAATCCAAGTAGATCAATAAAAATTTTTCATCTATTCAATGTTTGATTGAAAATTTTCTTCATCTGTATTATTTAATAATAATAACATTCTTTATTTACCCAAGTTATTTATATTATTTGTGTTTACTGCAGTTTCTGCATCAATCGAAACTTCTCCCAACCCATTCACTGATAATCCATTAACCATGTTCATTGCTTGACGGGCTCCTTGAGCATCTATAGTATTCCAATATGATTCACTAGGTGATATACTATTAAGTCCAGGTGGCAGTGGTGTAGGCGATCCTGTATACCGGAAATATGGATTCTTGAGGTCTAACGTGTTTTCACTACTCATACATGTTCCTTCCAATTTTAGTTTTATGGTCACGTCATATGACTGCCTGTTAAAACAAATAAAAAATACATAACTTTAGTGTTGAGTAGTAATACACTGTGTAAGGAAGAAAATGTACTGGAAAATTTATAAACATTATTATAATTAAGCATTATAAAAAATATGAGGGTTCAGTAAGTACGATGATCACTAAGGAAAAAACTTATTTTCCTAATAAAAAGATAATGGTTCATGTGATTTGGGATTGTTAGCTGTATGATACAGGTGAGTAGTGTGGTCTGAAGAAATTTCTTGCACAATTAAAATAAGTATCTCCATTGAAAACATACATTTAAAATCATCACCTTTCATTGTATTTGGTAAAAGGCTCCAAACAGTAATTGTTTTTACTCAAATATTAATATTTTAACAATTAGGACGTCAAAACAAGACAAAAATTTAATGAAGTGGGAGAAGCAGCGGACTAGTGCAGCGCGGCGGCTCAGGAAACGCGGCTCTACAGCAACCAAACAAGCAACTTCAAAATCAATCGACCTTATAATTCTGAATATCTCAGCTTCTGCTTTACCTGGATAAATTATTTTTTACACAATTTAAGTTCATTTGACGAGATAAAACAGATCATCATAATTATTATGATAGAAAGTAATTATTTATTTTCAAAACATGGCGTAAAATTTTTCACCAATTCTTTCAGCTGCTCTTAAACACTGGAAAGTCATATTTTTTATTAACATAATTACTGAAAAATTTTGAAAATGTATGGACCACAGATATAATGAACAAATTTAAGTTGATTTTAAAATTTATTATAGTACAAAAAATCATTAAGAGAGAAATACTAAGTACAGTAGCATATTTTATATACATATATCGCAAATTGTATTAATTCTGAATAGTAATAATACTAGCACATCACTGTTAATGAGAGCATGTTAAACGGCTTGTAATAAATTTATGTACGGATAGCCATTTTCATGAGCACGCCAAACACACATCCACAACTGCCACAATATTTGACTTTTGTGAATTACAGCGCACGCGCTTAACACAGCAGTCAAAAAAAATGTGCAGAGGTAAGTACATATAAGAAAGATATAGCTTGTTTAACAATAGTTTACGCTGTATGCAAAAATAACTTAAGTTTCATTCTTTTTATACTAGTCAGGTAAAGTTCTCAAATCTATTACATAAAATTGCAAAATTGACTTACAAAGTTTATTTTGTTAGACAATAACAGCATAAATAACATTATTATTTTGAATGCTGATCCCAATAGGGCAAAATAGTTCAAAAAGGCAAAAATCGTCAGAGTCACTTTTTTGCGATTTATGGAGAAACTGTGCATTCGACAAATCAAGTGTAACGTAATAAAAATGCGTAATAAAAATACAAATCAAATAATTTTTCTGAGCTCTGATCGATCAAGTAGTTTTTTAGTAAATTGCAAAAAAACACTTTTTTGGCCATTTTTCAAAATTCCATAACTTCCCTTTTATTTGATATGATGACTTTAAACTTTGAAATAATGTGTGTTTTATAAGTGTGTATTTTATAATAATGTGTGTTGTGTGAACTTTAAAAAAGTTGAAAAAAGATCCTTCCGAAAAATGGCCATCAAAAAGATTTGGGCTAACCTAGACTAATTTTTGAAACATACTTTTGTTAATCGAGACTTTTTCGACAATATCCTGCAATGCCGTACCATTATACACGGCCAAAGTATAACATAAGTTGATTTTAAAAAAGGAAGCAATCGCGGAACTGTGGTAGGGGGCCGTCGAGCTCGTAATGCAGCTGTAGGGATATTCCAGAAAATTTTGACAAAAATTATTTGTATATTCTTAACATTTTAAAGCGGAAAAGGTAAAAATAATAATGATATGATAATATACGTCCTTACGTATGTGACACACGCATATACAAATAAGAATGTTAAAAAGACATTATTTTTGAAATTCACGTTGTGTCGTATCTAATTATTCAGTAGATTTATTTGAGCTGAAAAAAATTAATTTCACAAATAATATAAATAATATAGTTTCAGATTCGCATATAAAATGACTTAACAATTTATTGTTTTTCTTAACTTAACTACTTCTGTGACCGTTGGTCAGACACTGCTTGCACGCATGCAGTCTCAAGATTTTACAAAGTTGACCGCAACGATGATCCTCATTCTACATGAGAATACTCGTGGCAATGACAATAATTAGGCTTCTGCTTTTAAAGTTTAAAGTTGGAATCCAAGTTGATGGTCCTTTCTTTCTTGTTCCTATTTAATTCACTTTTTAGACAAGTCTACAGTAGCCTGGTTTGCCCGAGCTTTTGTTACATGGCTTACTCATTAAACTAAGTCTTACATTTGCTTGAAATACACGCTTTTAACACGCAGCTTGATCAGCAAATCAAATCTTAAATTTACTTTAAAGATGCAACAGAACTAACTTTCTAACCTTTGCAGTGACTTGAGAGCTGTTGATGAAAGAGAAAAGGCGAGTATTGGTGTGTGCAAGAAGTTTTTTACTATTGTATTGAAGAAGGACACACCAGGTTAAGGATCTAAACGACCAACAAGAGCTTAACCTAATTACTCTCGATTGACATGAGTACAGTTGTGGTACAATAATTACATAGTAATTAATGGTTAAGACTGCTGATCTCTCGGATTTAACATAAAGTAGAAGTTTCTGTCAAAATTGTGTATTATATTTCTTCTTGACATATGCAGTAAAGAATATTGGAACTGTTGATTATCCGCATTCTTGGATGTACTACTGCAAATTGATGTCGTAAGATAAGTGCTTCATAATATTGTTGGAGATTGCACGCGTAATTCGAGTTTTGCGATGATAGCTTAATTCAAAAGAAGTAAGTTATACGTCACGCGATTGCAGAAGCTGGAATGCAGCTCGATGTTTGAAGGTTGCTGAGCACCTGCTTTTTATAACTCCAGAACGAAACTCTGTATTACGATATGATAAATATTGAGTACACGAGATGGGATGTCACAATGTTACTAAGAAATACGATTTTTTAGCGTTTAAAAGCAGTCGAAAAATTGACAAGAACTTTAACATCATAATTAAAATCGTGAATACATTTTAACAGACGAGATGGATAATTTGACTTTTCTGTACCACTAATAAAGCCTTTAACATGTTCTTTTAAACGTTTAGGAAAAGTTCTGCCAGTTTGTCCTATGTACTCTACGACTTCCCTTTCTTTGAGTATAACTCCGGTTAATTGGTGGTGGTAACAATCGGCTAAGAATATTATCTGTACCGAGGAAACTCTAAGATTAGGAACCAACACACAAACAATGATAGTGTTTATATGTCGGAGGGCGGGTTCGTTGCCCTGTGTAAAAGAGCGAAATTGCTCANAACTCACTGATCTAAGCTGCAACATCTGTGAATTACAGCCCAATTGGTTGATAAACAATATTTTTTTCAATTATAAAATGATAACAGGTTTCAGCTACGAAGTAGATAAAGCTTTATTTTAAAAATTAAAAAAATTACGTAGTTTTATACGTGTGCAAAAAACTATGATTTTCAAGCAAATAGTTATGAAACCAGTTATAATAGACATTTTTTTTAATGTCAATGAGATGTAATTAAATAGTTTTAAAATTTTTTTGGATCAGAAAGATCCTAATTGTGTGACCACAGAAATTTTGATACATTATACAGTTCAGCTTCGAAAAAAGTAATCATTAAAAACTTATAAAGTTAAAATGAGATCGTCTTGAAATTTGTTTGACTTGTTTCTATTGGTAATAGTAACATTTTTTAAGAATTTTGAAGCTTGTAGATTAGTTCATTTTTTTGTACATAAATTATGAAAAAACACGATTTTTCAACTTAGCAAGTAAACAATAGCATAGAAAATATCATTGCACATCTTATTTCATATGAAATTTTATTTTCTACAACTTTTCTATGGACGGTATGTACCGATGCATGCATCGGTGAGAAGATATTACAGAAAAAAAAGAAAAATCTATACTTTTCACTTTATTGTCGAAAAAAAAAATGAAACAGAAGGTTAATTTCTCAGCAAACTTAAGACATTGATACATGCAAGTACATGAACCGATATCTACAGAGAAACTTAATGGAGGCAAAAAAGCCAGTATTTTCGTCTAAGGTCTCGGCTATTAAACAAGAAGTTAACCAAGCAAAAATGATGACTGTCAACAAAATTGCGAACGCAAGCTTGAATTAGAAGTTTTAAGTATTCAACTTCATGAGATAATAATACATTATTTCTAGATGTTGCCAAATGATGCTTACTTCTTTCAAAAATTTTAATCTTATTATTTTGATACATTTTATTATTCAAGAATAATAGTTCCACTTTTATTGGTGGATTATTAGTGAGTTTTAACAGACTGTAGATAAAAATGCTATAAAATACCAACTAACGTATAACAACAATATTTAGCAAAGGATGCGTTTAACATCCTACTACCGACCAATGCTAAGAAATGGTAGTACTTCAGAAGCGATATAATAAATATTTATTGATATGCAGAAAAGTTGCTCCTGGGAACTTCTTTAGGAATATTTAAGAAAAAAAAATTTGACTAAATGAATAATTTAATAACGCGCATGATTAATCAAATATAAAAAAACAAATCAATTGATTAACTGTAAACGCTTTACAAAATCTATTTATACAGAAGTAAGAGTTACCTTCCTCTCTCTCTTAGCTCATATTTCAGCTCGCACGAGCAAGGTCATTGGCTCGAATCTCTTGGAAAGTGGTTGTTTTTCTGTCCTATAAGGACAATTGTTTTAAGAATTAAATCTTCAAACAAACTTCCTTTTCTTGACAGCCAAGCAGACCTAGTCATCAGTTATCTGCTTGGGCCACTACGACTAGAGTGACGGTGCAGTCAAGCTACTTCAGCCGTATGCTTGTATTAGTGCAGTAGCCCGATAAAACTTGACATTAGAACACTGAATGATCAAGGAAATAAAAAAATGCATTATGTAAGTAAGAGCCAATAAGTTCTCGGGGCGAACAGCTGGTACCTGA